GCTGCCCAGCCTGCATTGCGCAGCCTGCGTTGCGCAGCCTGCGCGCCTGCCTGCGCTGCGCAGTCGCGCACCCAGCCGCCTGCGCTTCCCAGCCGCGCGCCCAGCGCGCCTGCGCCGCCCAGCCGTCTCCCTTTCTTCAACTTCCACCACTCCCTTTTCAAAATTAAATGGGAAAGATTTGAAGTTTAAAAAAAAAAAAAAAATGTAATCAATGCCTCCTTCTCCAAGTCTCCTTGGACATGGGGCATCGGGGGGCAAATGATGGGTTAAGCCCAAGTAGTCCAATTTATGTATTAAAGCCCAACCCCGGTTGAGGAGCCCAACCTCATCGTGAACCCACCAAGTCCAAGACAGACCAAGGCCGGCTAGACTTCTTGCTTAGCACGTCATTTAGAGGAGAGCACGGGAAGTTTATCTACACCGCCTTAGGGAGCCCAAGGCCGGTTGGACTTCTTGCTTAGCACGTCACCAAGAGGAGAGCACGGTTAGACTTCTTGCTTAGCACGTCACCAAGAGGAGAGCACGGGAAGTTTATCTACACCGCCTTAGGGAGCCCAATGCCGGTTGGACTTCTTGCTTAGCACGTCACCAAGAGGAAAGCACGGTTGGACTTCTTGCTTAGCACGTCATCAAGAGGAAAGCACGGTTGGACTTCTTGCTTAGCACGTCACCAAGAAGAGAGCACGAGAAGCTTATCAACGGTCCAATCTTTGACCACGTTTCCTTCAAGAGTTCCCCAAACTCTTCCTTCCGTTGAGGATAAGTCGTGATCTCCACCGAAGATAATCTCTAAGCTGCGATAAAGAAGCCTTGAGGATATGTTATGATCTCCAGAAGAATGATCTCTTATCCACTATAAAATGGCTCTAATCTGAGAGAGAAAGGGACACATGCTCCATCAGAGACTTACAGAAGACGAACCGACTACCGGAGATTACTATTGTCTTTGATTCTCCATTCTCCCTCTCAAAGCTTGTATCTCCATTCTCCATACCATTGAATCAATAAAATACCCGGCAACTGAAGCCATTGAAGAGTGGACGTAGGTCGAATTGACCGAACCACTATAAATTGTGTCTTCTCTAATTTTTTCGTTGATTTCATTGCATTTATTATCTATACTTGACAGGTGGTGTGCAAAACTATTTTTGTGCATCATCAATATGCATTGGGCATTTTCCTTTGGTCCTTAGTCCAGTGGTGGATCCAAGGAGATCAACTGGTTAGTTGATTTTCTATTTGCTTTATTTTGCAATTGGAAGAAAAATTGGTGTAATTGGAAGGTTCCCATTTATTGGGAACTGAAAAGGCTATCTCTAAAGTGCATAGTCTCATTTTAATGGAAATTAGAGGAAAAATATGCAGGGCATGTGTTTGGGAAATTTGAAAATTAAGATTTCATTTGTTTATTGAAATAATCAGGGGACAGAAGGTGTTTTGGGACGATGCTATGGTAGTCGGGTAACAATCAGAATACTTTTACAGTTTGTCTTCAAGTAAAATTTTTGAGTCAATTTTTCATGGCTTTCAATGCAATACAATTGCATTTGGTTTTTGTGTTGAAATGCTTCAATTGTGTCAGCTGAGAGTAATGGGTTTATACAAGTGATTGCTGTGGTGAACCATCAAAAGAAAAAAAAAGGAAGAGAAGGGACAACTGATTTCTTAAACTTGCAGATAGTCAAAATCATCACGAAACGGCTAGCCCCCTAAGCATGAAGGTTTCTTCTTGATATGGTTTACATTAATCTTAAAAACTTTCATCCTAAGTTTAATATAGTGCTTATTGTTCGATGCACCATTATGGGTAGACATGTTACTGAAATGGCTTGGGTGCCAAGATTGATTGGCTATTTTGATTATTTTCTTTGATTTGGCAATTTTTTTTTTCTCATAAATTGCCTTCAGGCACGGATATTAAATTTAAGCTATCATGTTATATAATCATTCACAATTGGATTCCATACTTTGTTATCTCTCAAGAACAGTCCTAAGTGCTGTTGATGTTTTTTTTTTCCTCTGTGTCTTTAGACGCGGACAATTACTAGTGCATAGGAATGACTAAGGTACCAAATACATTCCGTATACTATAAAGAAAGTTAATATGAGTTAATCAAGTGGACCAAAGTTATAATACCAAAAAATTATATTATCTTAGAAAAAGTTAAGATCGATTCTAAAATGTTAGACTTGATCCTAAACTAGTCATAAAATCGCCAAATTGACTCACAATCTCACTGCTACATTGTAGTGCATTGTACTTTGATTTCTCCTTGGCCTGGTTATTTGACTAATAAAGGTACTAATTATTTGTTTTATAGCTAACAAATTTGCAAATGTAATGTTATATTATCTGCAAAGTGCCTTTAATCAAGCATTAACTCCTAAGCAAGGAACTTATGCTTTGTTTAAGTAATTAATAAATCAGCCTATTTTCTGCTTAATCCAACAACACACGCCAAGAATGTACATGTCAGAAAGAGAATGTTGTATTAGATAATAAATATATACTATGCATCCCGCTCTGCTAGTTTAAGTTTTTTGAGATGAGTTAGTAGTTTAAAAGGTCCTAGTTGATTGTACATTGGCATTTCATTTAATTCACTAATATAGACATACTTAATGTACACAACTCTTGCTTATAGTTGGGTCAGGAAAGATGTGAGCAACTTCACTTTGAGGGTAACACCTCTCGACACTACCATGTTAACAGGACACTATATTAGCGGGTTATACATGTTAAACCGAGTACAACATGATTAAGAACTAACTCGGATCAATGTCCAATACTCTGATTTAATTAATTAAACCAGCCGATTGTGGTTCACTACTATTCAACACATAACTCAAAATGACGCAATATTACTCGATTTTAGTTCTTGTAAGGGACAAACTTGCATCTCTAAAATTCAAAAATTCTCAGTTGAATCTTGCCATTACTAAAAGACTGCAACTCTCAAACAATTGTATTGTGTAACTTTTCAGTTTCATCACACGGTTTTCTGCTTCCTTTCATATGGAAACTTTTTTTTTGACAAATCTGTCTGAGGTGTAGCTACTTGCTCACACCTCCCACAGATTTGTTTCTTCAGACTTTGTAATACCATGGGGATGCCCCTACTTTTCTATCTCTTTTGATATGCAATTCATTTTTACGTTTCGGAAAATTTGGACTTAGTAAACTGTTAAACGAATGAGTCACAAGAATCTTCAAGACTGCTAATGTCAAGATACACCCAGAATAATAATGCACCGCACAGAAGAACATATGTGGCCAAAAAAAAAAATTTAATTTCATTCCTATATTCATCATTTCACTAGTCATACAAAGGACCCATAAACCATTTTGATTGATTGTCATGGCAGCTATGACCTTGAATAATCTAAAAGACCACAAGGATTGGAATTGTTGTTCTAAAAGCTACCACAACATGCATTTATGTGACATTAGTAATGGGTATGTTATGAACTCCAATAAACTGGTCATTTCATAATATGGATCCTTTAATAACGGATAAAGTCAAGTCAAATAAAAAAAGAACCAAAAAAAATAGGAACCAAATGATGTGCCGCTGGTATTGTGAGCAAAACGAGAATTTAAATGCATTAAATTAGACAACAAATACTACCATGACAATGCCACATCATTTTGACTCTATCTTGTGTCTTATTTATTGATCAATTTAACATTTATATCTCGACATATGAATCATGAGAGAGTGGGAAAAGGTTGAAATCATTGGAAACATGTGATTATATCTATACCTAACTTAGAACATACATTGTCATCTATTATCTTTAACTCATATCGCACCCTTAACTAAGAATATTAGAATCCAATTCTTTTGTAGTTAGTGAGGAAGATGGTATATGTCACATGAAAAGAGTCATAGTGGAATGAGATGAGGGCCCGCCCCTATAGTATAAAAATAAAAGCAGGGCTTTAGGCCCTGCATACGAAAAAAGTCTCAAATTTAAAGATCAATTATATAATATAAGTTAAAAAATAAAATTTACTATAATATTACCTAACAAATTAATTTTTGAAACACTAAACCAACAAAAAAATTAAAAATTTGGGCCCAAAAGTTTAGACCTCCTCACACAATCACATTTATTAAAGGATAAAAAAAATTAATAAAAAAAAATTCTGACAAAATCTATCTATTTCTTCAATCGAAAGAAGTGTAATAAATATTTCTCTTTAATCAAAGAAAAAAAAAATCAAACCAAACACATTTTTACTTCCCTTAAACTATTTTTTTTTCTCATTTGAATGCAAAACACCAATTAAACCATTCATTCTCGTTAAAAAAATATTTTGATAAAATTTTTATTCATAACAAATAAGATATAACAAAAATTTAGGTGTAAGTTGCATGAATAAATAAATAACATTCAAAGACAAAAGTAAAACTAATAGATTTTAAATTGAAAAAAATAAATTATTATTTAAAAAATTTTAAAGTATCATTAACCGTCATTACTTTAGGCCTCAAATGTTGTCGAGCCACCTTTGAATGACATTCCTAAAACTTTTCCCGACATAGGTCAAGTTTGCTCCAATTTTTTAAAGATTTTTAATTAATCTCTTTTTTAGTTCGATTAAAGATAAACTATCCACGTCGAGACTATAGTATTCATAAGGAATAAATTTCTTATGAATTAATTCTAAGAAGTTATCAAGATTCGAAATCATGACATTTGATGTTATAGCTTGTCCCTATTACTGCTTGGGTTATTTCTTGAAATTTTACTATCCAGGCCTCAGAATACAACAATAAAATATAGGTATAATGACATTTAAAAAAAAAAACAAACAAAGTTGCATTCCAATTATACATAGTACAGATTGCCACTCTCCACTAATTTACATAGTCTCAGCTAGTGTTTTTGAGACTCAATCCCTAACTTTGCTCTTATTTACTTTTAGCTATGACGGGAAAATTTTCATTCAATCCTTTTGTACAGGGACTGGATTCCCATCCCGTTGGTGATGATCAGGAGATTGAAGACATTTTCTCTCTCATTATTCTTAAGATACATGAAGCCGATGGTCTGAGACTTGGCGAATCATGCAGGCACGTTGCTGATATTGAAGCCATGACCTTGGCCTCTTCCAAGTCAAAATTCCCACTAAGCCGCGGATCCACCATTTCCGCTACCTTCGTGGCCTCCCTCAACATTGGGCCGGCGAGTGAAGTCAGCCTAGCAGTCGAAAAGGCTTCGATCCCTGTGATAAGTTCAAGAACTATCACTCCGAAGCTGTAAACATCGTTCTTTTTCGAGGCGATTCCTGTTCTCAGGTAGTGAGGATCAGTATAACCTGGAGAACCCAGCATCATTCTGTTCAACCTGGACGAGGATGGTGGTAACACGGTGGAAGAAAATCCCATTTTTGCTGACCCAAAGTCGCATAACTTGCAATTCAGCTGCTCATCAAGCAATATGTTTGAAGCCTTGATGTCTCCGTGAATGATATGAAGGCTGCATTTTTCATGGAGATATTCAATCGCTTGTGCCAGTTGAAAAGCAATTACCATGCGGTTTTTCCATGAAAGTATTGAATTTTGCCCATTCCTTCCTGTTACTTCACCGCCATTGTCATGGAGCTTCTCTTGCAAATTCCCATTGGGAACATGATCAAACACCAGAACGCCTTCTTCTGTAATTACATAATAAATCATCTATAACTTACTTAATGCACATTGAACAATCAGAAAAATGAAAAGGGAGAGGCAAAAAGAGAGAATTATTGGCAGCGCAGAAGCAGATGTACCTCGATCATCACAATATCCAAGAAGATTGACAATGTTATTGTGGGAAAGGCGGAGTAAGATCTGCAGTTCTTGCTTATAAACTTGGTTGAGACGTTCGCTGCTGCTGTGGATCTTGATTGCGCCGAGAGATGAGTCAGGAAAGTTGGCGAGATAGACTGTACTAAAACCTCCCGATCCAATCCCCTGAGAGAAATTCATGGTGAGGTTCTGCACCTCTTCCCAATTGAATCTCCTCACAGAAACATCCTTCACGCAAGAGTTGTTCCAGCTATTTTCCTCATTACTGACTTCATCCCCATCGGAAGCAGCAACAACTACTCGTTCAGGGACAGTTTTGTGCCTCGTTCTGTATCCGAAACACTTAAGGAAGGCCATGGCAAAGAGCACGGTTAAGAACACGGATGACAGGCCAATGGGTATGGCGAGTTTGAGATCGAGGAGCGAGTGGTGGTGGTGGTTGGTATCATCTCATACTATGCCAATGAATTTTAAGAGCTAGGCTGGCGGTGGTGAGGTACCAGTATTAGAGGTGGGTATGGTCCCGGAAGCAACCAGGAAGGTGAATAGAGCAGCCCAATAAATAAAAATTAATATAAATTATAAGAAATTCAAAGGGATGGAGCTATGAATCATCTATATCCACCAAACATAGACAATTAGAGCACTCCATGCTCGTGTTGCTTTGAAAATTATCCATTTTGACTCCTTAGTACTACGTACCTGAAGTGGAAGGTAAGGCCTCCATGGAGACAGAACCCCACACGCTTTGATTGTGATTTGGAGATCCATAGAAAATCTTTTCATATTTTAAGGGAATGATTACAAAAACCTCGACCTTTGTCTTCTTGTTGTTGTATCTAAAAATAAAACTGCTGACTACTTAGATACCCGTAGGCATCATCTGTGAATTCCAATGTTCTGTATGAAACTTGTTGAAATTAAAAAACATGTTCGTGTGTCACACCCACCAAACTAACATATAGCATGTTTGGTGGGAGATTATTCCATCTAAATTGACAGACAAGCGGACAATTTTTCCTTCTTAAGGTCGACAAAGTTTTAGAAAAAATTCCAAATGCAGCTCCCCATAATTTAGTTACTATATTTAATGATGAATTTAACTTTTTTCTTTGGTTCTTAATTTCTTTTCATGGTTATACAGTTTATGCTAAAATCATTTTTTGCATTACATAGAAACCCTTGAGGAACATTTAGATCCCATTCTAGTGTTGCTTTATAAATTAACCTATAATATAACTTTGTACTCCTTCAGGTTTTGCTTTTGACATTTCAAGCAACCATCATCACCACAATAAAGGTTTTTTTTTTCACTGTAACGAGTAATTGAAATGGAAAATTCTGCTAGAAGAAAAGAAATGAGCAAGTTGTATAGATAGTCCTTGAGGTTTACCACTTATTGCATTTTGTTTTTTAAAGTTTCAATTACGCCAATTTAGCCTCCAAAGTATAAACATTTGGTACAATATGTGAACTTTGGGGACTAAATTGACGAAATTGAAACTTTAAGGAGCAAATTGCGATAAGTGATAAAGCTTAGAGACCATTAATATAATTTACCCAAAAGAAATCAATGAACAGTGTGCTAGAAAAAGATCTCGCACCTGTGATTGATGATTATGAAACTAAATGTTTGATTTACAACGAAATGAATAGGGTGCACCTCTTCTTGTAAAATCAACAAATTGTTACAGACAAGGGTTTAATGGGTCGGAGGTACTCCAAAACTTAGCTCAGTGGTTGCTCTTCAAGTGCTTACTCTGCAAATTCTCTCTTGAGAGTTGTGAATTTAGTTTTTATCTCCTCACAGTCTGGCAGCTTCGGATGAGCATGGGTAGATGTTGTGATCGTGCAGTAATTATGGTGAATAGTAAGGAATCAAACAATTAAGAAAGCAGGAGAAAATAACACACAGAGATTTACGTGGTTCGCCAATGTGCCTACATCCACGAGAGCGAGCGGCTGTTCTTTTCCTTATTGAAGTAGGGTTACATCTTAAGTATTTATATAACCTAATATGAACGTATTTACAAAAATACCCCTGTACCGTACCGCGGGGGCGTTGCCCCCCACCCCCAACTTATCAGCGTCCCCTTTATATAAATCCCGCAAGGCAGATGCCGTCGCGGGCTCCGCTACGCTCCGGCATCTGCCTCCTTGCCATTATGCACACAGCAAATATGAGCCACACATACTCTAACAATCTCCACCTTGGCAAATATTCACCCCTTAGAAGAAAAAAAAGAGGACATGTATTCGGGAACTCCACCGGGGACGCTGAGTTGAGGCATCTCCCATCTAGCAACTAGAGACATTAATCAAGTCCAAGCAGTGCTTGAACTTGTCTGTAGTAACAGGCTTTGTCAACATGTCTGCTGCATTCTCAGAAGTGTGAACTTTCTCAAGTAATAGTTCACCAGAAGAAACCAGTTCCCTGATCTTATGAAACCTCACATCTATATGTTTGGTCCTCGCATGATACACCTGGTTCTTTGCCAAATAAATGGCACTCTGACTGTCACAATGCAATTGAACTCCACCTTGCTGGGCACCCAGCTCCTTGACTAAACCTGTAAGCCACAAAGCCTCTTTGGCAGCCTCAGCTACTGCCATATACTCTGACTCAGTAGTAGATAGTGCAATTATAGGCTGTACCATGGACTTCCAACAAATAGGTCCTCCCACAAGAGTAAACACATAACCTGTGGTAGACCTCCTGTCATCCAAGTCCCCTGCATAGTCTGCATCCACATATCCCATAACTGAAGGGTCACTCTGTTGTCTGCTAAACCTGATGCCATAGTCTGTAGTGCCCCTCAAGTATCTGAAAATCCACTTGACTGCATCCCAATGCTGTCGACCCGGATTTGAAAGAAACTTGCTAACCACGCTGACAGCTTGTGCCAAATCTGGTCTTGTACAAACCATAGCATACATCAAACACCCCACTGCACTAGCATATGGGACCTTTGACATGTCATGAACTTCATCATCTGTCTTCGGGCACTGAGCGGTAGACAATCTGAAATGATTCGCCAAAGGTGTACTTACTGATTTTGCATAACTCATGCTGAACCTGTCCAACACCTTCTCAACATAGCTATGCTGAGATAGCCATAATCTCCTGGAAGCTCTGTCCCTGCGAATCTCCATCCCAAGAATCTTCTTGGCCGCACCCAAATCCTTCATGTCAAATTCTCTACTCAACAAAGTCTTCAACTTGTTGACCTCACTCATACTCTTGGCAGCAATCAACATATCATCCACATAAAGTAACAGAAAAATAAATGAATCATCATCAAGCCTTTTTACATAGACACAACAATCATACTCACACCTTTTGTAGCCAATTCGGATCATGTAAGAGTCAAATCGTTTGTACCACTGCCTCGGAGACTGCTTCAGCCCATAAAGTGATTTCTTCAAATTACAGACCAAATGTTCCTCTCCAGGGAGACTGAACCCTTCTGGCTGTACCATGTAAATCCGTTCCTCCAAGTCGCCATGAAGGAAAGCTGTCTTTACATCCATCTGCTCCAACTGCATATCTGAATGTGCTACTAGTGCCAACACTGTCCTGATGGAAGTGTGTCTGACCACGGGGGAGAAGATCTCATCATAGTCAACCCCTTTTCTCTGTGAGTAACCCTTTGCTACTAGACGAGCCTTGAATTTTTCTCCCTCATTTTCTGATACTGCTTCTTTCTTCTTATACACCCATTTGCACCCTATTGCTCTCTTCCCCTCGGGAAGTTCCACCAACTCCCACGTCTGGTTCTTATGCAGAGACTCCATCTCCTCCACCATAGCACCCATCCATCTACTTTTCTCTTGGCTTTGTACTGCCTCCTGAAAAGTTGTAGGATCCCCGCTACTAGTAATAAGCGCATAAGAAACCAAATCTTCAAAACCATACCTGGTAGGTGGCTTGATATTGCGTTTGGGCCTGTCTGTGGCTATACTATGATGTTGTTGATCACCTGAGATAGAACGCTCTACATGCTGAGCATCCTCTTCTCTACCATGATTCTCTAGCTCCACCTGCACCACATGGTCATTAGTGCTACAGTTTTCTGGTACTTGTTTCTCTTCTTCCTGAGTACGCTGCAACATGGCTTTTTCATCAAAAACCACATCTCTACTGATCACCATCTTGTTTGCCTTCGGATCCCAGAGCTTGAAGCCTTTCACTCCTTTCTGATATCCCAGAAAGATACACTGTCTAGACTTCGCATCAAGCTTCGACCTCTCCTCACTAGAAACATGTACATAGGCTGGACATCCAAACACTCTCAAACCAGAGTAGTCTACCTCACTGCCTGTCCACACCTCCTCTGATACTTTCCCATCTAGTGCTGCCCTCGGTGATCTGTTAATCAAGAAACATGCCATATTCACTGCCTCTGCCCAGAAATTCTTTGCAAGCCCTGCATTCAACCTGAGACACCGAGCTTTCTCGGCTATCGTTCTGTTCATCCTTTCCGCTACACCATTTTGTTGTGGTGTCTTGCGGACTGTGAAGTGTCTCTTGATCCCATGCTGCTCACACAACTCCTGGAACTTTGAATCTGTGTACTCAGTACCATTATCTGACCTGAGGCATTTAATCTTCCTCCCTGTCTGGTTCTCTACTTCAGCTTTCCACAGCTTGAACTTGGCAAACGCTTCTGACTTGTGCCGCATGAAGTACACCCAGACCTTTCGTGAGTAATCATCAATGAAACTCACGAAATACATGTATCCTCCCCGTGATAGTACGCTAACTGGTCCCCAAACATCTGTATGGACATAGTCGAGAACCCCCTCTGTCTTGTGTGTGGCTGTCTTGAACTGCACCCTATTCTGTTTTCCAAGAACACAATATTTGCAAAAATTGAGCTTGCATGTCTTGACACCCTTCAATAGATTTTTCTTATGAAGCTCTATCATCCCACGCTCACTCATATGACCCAGCCGCATATGCCACAAGACTGTATTATCTGATTCAGACTCTACAGCAGCAACTCCACCTACAATTGTAGTACCCAGCAGTCTGTAAATGTTTCCTACTACTTTCTGTCCCTTCATCACTGTCAGCATGCCTTTACTTACTTTCATTACTCCACTTATAGATTTGTAACTATAACCATTACAATCCAAAGTGCCCAATGAAATCAAATTCTTCCTTAGATCCGGTACATGTCTAACATCACACAACGTTCTAACCATACCATCAAACATCTTAATTCTAATATTTCCTATTCCAACAACTTTGCAAGATGCATCATTACCCATCAGAACAGAACCAGAATTTACTGACCTGTAGGTGTCAAACCAATCTTTGTTGGGTGTCATGTGATAGGAACATGCTGAATCCA